TAGTGTGTCTACAAATCAAAATAACCTGCCAGTCACTTACTGGTCTGTCTACAAATCCAGATAACCTGCCAGTCACTTACAGGTCACAACCTACCAATGTACATAGGTAACTTTGTGATCGATGCTTACAAGCAAAACAGTTTTTCCAGCTTTGCAAAAAATTAAATTCAAGCCATACAGTCGAATTTTTATGCAACTATGCCTCAACAGGAATATACTCACCCTAGAGCTCAGTAAAGAACCCATTGCCCTTGGCTTTGTCACCCTACTCTTTTTAACCAAACACCGCCGAGTAGACCATCAACACCAAAACAGATGCAAAACCAGTTTTACTTGGCAAAGCAAGTAATCTGACTAATCCCTTAGGTTTAAAAGGCATTTTAGTTTCTTTGTGTTCATACAGTGATCGGCCTGAATACAACTAGTGAGACACATTGACTAGAAAAAGACCTACAAAGGAACATGTAGGAAATCCATTGACATTTAAAAACATATTCTAGTCAGCTGACAATGTTCACAGACAGCACTTTATTATCTACTATCATCCTCTCTGAGGACAGTAATTATACAGTTCTAAATGCAGGTCACGCCCAGATTGACCTTTCCGTGACCCTCAAAGTATTTTCTACTAGGTCACTTTGCCATCCAATTTTGTCTGCATTTTTTGGGTGAATGGATATCAATAGGAACAATTAACTGGAACAGAAAGCCATTGTTAACATAAGCAGACAATGACCAATCATAAATACATGGGAAGAAGTACAAGGAATACGAAACATTTTGCATATAGTTTAAATATAATTTGCATAAATTAAAGCAGGAGCCAAATACTAGTAGTAACCTTTTAAACAACAGTTAACAAACACAAGATGTTTTGTTCTTCTAAGAACTATTGTTCACCCCTATGTTGAGAGACCAGCATGACAATCTACCCAAGGGTCTCAGCATCTACTTGAACCATGTAGTACCATGGATGTGTTGAAAACAAAGCGATACAGTTGTGCGGTAATGCAGTGTTTCTGGAATGAATATTATTTTCATGATTTCGTGACTCAATGTTTACATCGCTACATTCCTAAGAACTGCATGCGGAACTATGGGCGACAACTAGAGCATTCACAAACTTACATGCATATATTGTCATCGGCAGATATGCATGACGTGTTTGTTATTACAATCCAACCTCTCAGCTTACTAATTGTTACAGGAATGCTAGGACAAAACCTGTAATGCCAAATAAATCTTGTGTTTCTCCTAGCATGCAATCCTCTTATAATACTTATTGCAGCTACCCATGCAAAGGAAAGTAACAAAGTGGACATCTTTAACTTGAGAACTACCGAGCTTGACAAATCTGCATCTGGGGACGATATACGAACCAGCAGTAATTTTACAAGTGCATTGAACATGGATAATTTCCATCGACTTTGATTAAAAAAATATCTTGAACTTTTTAATAGTCAAGATCTCCTGGAGATCTTCCCAGGCATGTTAGTCTATTATTGTATAACAATGAACGCATACAGATTTATAGAGTTCACAGACATGGCTGTAAGCTGTACCAAGTTTGCTTGGCAATGCTTACTTGCTGCATTACACCTAGTATATAACCTTCCTATGTCAGATTGACTTGAGCCTCTAGAGATGCATCAATAGTCTAGTATATTTTGCACAGCATGTCTAATATCACCTTGATGACTAGTAGTACAACAATTGAGGTTAGACAACTTAAATTCAAGTACTTGTATGTTTCAATGTAATCGTTGAATACTTGCCATCCATGACCGCCAACATTAGTTATATAGATGAAAGGTATTTGAAATTTTTATCGACCAGGAATTAACATAACTAAGTGTTATTGTTGGGTTAGGTACCAGATGTGAATTACTACTCCATCAAATGTATATTATGGATTTAAATTTATTTTTGCCAGCCCAGACTGACACTTGTAAACAAAGCAAAGAATGATGGATTGAATTTCAAGCATTCCAGATGGAGGCTAAGCATCTTGGGTAAGAGTCAGAGCGTGTGATGGTTAGAGAATTTTGAAAGAACACTGGAGATCAAACTGTTATCTCCACCACCACCACCACCACACCCTCCCACACCCACCCCAACAGATCCCACCCCATTAAACCTTGATCAAACCTTTAGTACAAGTTCTTATCAACAATTGTCATAAGACATATATGCACCCTGGATAAATGTTTTGTTATTGTCTTATACAAAGGGTCGTGTATTTAATAGCCGGGTTTGACCTATAAACCACACATATGTCAAACATACCATGTTTGTTGCAATGTCAACAACTGATGAAAGATAAAAAAAGTAGTTTATCCACTGGTAATAACAAAACAATGGTGATGTTTACTCACCAAATTACTTATAGCCATTCTGAGATCTATTCAGACAGACAGTTGGCAAGATTGCTTACAACTTTACAAAACGCTTCGGTTTTTGTCCAATTTAGACTCAACATCTCATTTGATTACACATGCACAGTTTATACAATGTATCATTTCATTTTCATACTCTCTGAGCATTCATTAGAATATAAAAATAATGCATTTTGATGTGTTTTAAAATTTCCTGAATTACACACAACATAGATAAACAAGAAATGAAGTTATTGAATGTACACAAAGTTTGCAAATCAAGATGATCAATCTTGTGAAAAAGTGAATCACACACAGCAAGCCATCTGTCAAGCAGTGCCACTAAGTCTAGAACAATGTAAACCCTAAGTGTTTTGCTGAGTTGTAGGGCATCCTGCTAGCTGACTGTCTGAATAATTCTAAGAACTGCTGTTATGCAGCAGTCACTAAGATCACTACTAAGTAAACTGTTATACTCACCATCTTGGTTAAAACTTCTTCATCCTTGATGTTCTCTATCTTTGGATGATTTTCTTTCTCTTTCAACTTGGTTTTCTCTAATTCTAGCTCATCTTCCGTTTGATTCCTATGCCTGTATCGAGTTCTGGGTGCCTTGCTTTCATCCCCACTACTATGCCATGCATCTCCATCACTGTCAGCGTTTCCGTGCCGACGAAGTTTCTCTACTCTTGGTTGTCTCAGATCCTCAGAGTCTTTGTTGGTTGATGGTTTGACGTTATTGTTGTTATTATAGTTTTTCTCAGCTGTCTTCAACTCTCGTATAGCTGCTCGAATTTTTCTTCTTTCTCCATATTCTGAAGTAGTGTCCAGCTAAAAAGACAAAATGAAGCAACCACTATAAATACACGAAGAGTAAAAAAAATAAAATGCAAAGCACACATGATGTTTCTGTTATAGCGCCCTCACTCTGTAGCAAAATACAAGGTACATAATTTCAAAAAAATCTTTCATCATTTACCTTAAGATCTCATCAAAATGATAATGATAAAATTATTTAAACTATTCAATATGTAGATTTCTTTATTTTCACTTAGAATTTATTTCCACTACTTTAGCTGATGGAATGGAACAGTGAAAATAAAATCCAGCATAAATACCTTTTTTTTATTATATTTTACATTCAACTCATCAAAAATCAGTGATAAGAAACATCATGCATAACAGCAAAAAAGTCTCTTCAGCTAAGACTAATTTCATCTTAAATAAAATAAAGTATTGTAGAGTAATATTCAACATAAATCTGAATACACATGTATGCAATTCTATGGATGTTCAAAATTCATGTTTTCTGTTAAAGCACTTGGTAAACATGTTGAAATACTCCAGTGAAAAATTCTGTATAGACATAAAACAAATACAGTCCAGTGAATTCTGAAAAACTGAGGCATCATTTTATTTTGATACATTTCAAGCAATGCTGTTGAATTTTTTATAACATGAACATGGTGCAGTGCACTATGAACACGTTGGTTTATGAATAATACTAGACCATAATGTCAGTCTACAAACAATTGATATCAGGTGACAACCTCACAAGAATAGATCTAACAATACATGTATATTTCTATCTCTGAATATAATTTTAGATAGTTCCCCATAATACCCTGCAATTACTTGTTACACTGACTGGTCCCCCCCCCCCCCTAGATGCATGCACATTTGTGTGAAAACACAGCTCTATGTCTATGGAAAGGTCAACACAGGCCATCAAAATATAAATTATATGTAGACACTGTAAATTTATCGTTTCTCACCATGTGGTCATAATTATTTCTAAACTAAGGATTTTTCATCCATATTAGCATATAGACTGGGTGGTCACACTGACAGGGATGTGGATTTTGCTCTTTACATACTTTTATGGACACCGCCATTTGGAATTGTTGAAACTTAAATCACTGAAGTGTTACAAGTATTGTATGCAACTGTACGGTCATAGTTTTATAACATACATGCTTTATAACTGGAGCATCTTTAATATACATGACTGCATAAAATCAATTACAATTTGACTTTAGTTAGATCGCAGACACACTTCTGTTTTTTATCTAAATATACATGCTACTACATATAATAGAGCAAATATGGTACACGTGTAGGAATTCAGTGGCACATTTCAGGTGAGAAAACTGCAAATTGAAAGAGAAAAAACAGCAAAATTTGAGAGATCGCAGAATTTGATTATGACCATACTACCAATTAAGCTACCAGATGTAGGTTTCCATAAGTAGATTGGGGTCATGACCTTCAATCCGTTAATATCCTCATCCCAAAAAGCTGTGGAGGACTTGACTTGAAGTGAGGAAGCAAACTTTAATTGCTCGCCATGTATGGTTATGTATTTTGTCAAAATTGAGCTGACCGTTTTTGGTAATGATTTCTCATTGTCTAGCAACATGCTCACTAAATTGTGCACAATACTAACCATGATTTTGTGTCTAATTGTACTGTATGCAGATACTTAATTCAGATACATATACAGTGTAGTATCAAACTTAATTATTATTTTCATTGAAAAGCATTAACCTTCAAGTACAAGGCGGTATATTATATTTCACAACATCAGAAATTTATATTTGATCTGAGAAACAAAATGACGTGCATCTAACGTATTTACCAAGTTTAAACAAAATGCATCCATATACAACCGAAATCCAGTTCCGGACTGGCAGATGTACTTTTAAGCATACAATGGTTGCCAATCGGCCATGTTGAATCAGAAATCGGATGTGCTCAAGCTTTGAAAAATAATGAAGAAGTTTTCAGAAATGTCTTGGTGATTACAGTGAAAATGTATTGAATTTCACCACCCAGTAATTACTGTACAGTTTAAAAAACATGACAAAACAATATGTTTGTGGGGAGGAGGGGGGTACCAACTAAGCACAAGGGACATCCTTTTGCATAAAACATCTGTTAGTCTGTTATGTATCTATTAGGCAAAAATAAAATCCCATTAGACAAATTTAGCGATAATTTTTGGTTACCCCCAACCTTTTTTTAGGTCAATATCCTTATGCTACCCAAGAGTACAATTTATTACAATATGAATAAATTCTGGGTATTTACATTTATGAGTAGGCTTCTAACTTAAATCAATGAATTTGATGCTAAATCTGTGATGTGTGTCAGTATTAACCAATGTCTGATTTGTTTACACCCAGTGTGTAATAAAAGAAACATATGTTTTGCTTTTCAAACTAAATAGACCAAGCCTGATATAATATTCTATGACAACAATATAACGGCAAGATGACGTCAAACATGGTATCTATGGCAACTAGCACAGTGATGCATGCACACATTTACTGCACAGTTCACACACAATGTCTAATTTTATACTACACTATCTCAATATTGCTAAAAACATTACTGAAGGTCGAGAGAAAAAAAATAGTGTTTCTGAAAAATAGATACATGTACACATAGATGAATTAATGTGTTATTCTTTGCATTGTATGCAAATACCAAAGTATTGAATAATTATGATATTAATTATGCAAGCTGTCACTAGTCTTAATTATTCAAAACCCAAATATTTATAATTCAATTTACAAGGACATTTATTTTTACCAGACGTGGTTTCAGTGACAATTTGACCTTTGACCTGAGTGAGCATTATTCACCATGACCAATATAGTCACTCCCACCCCATGATTCAACTATACAGGCAGTATATGTATCAAATTGAATATACTGTATTTCTTCTATTAATTAATATGCTTACGTAAATTACATCAATTTTTCTATGGTCAAAAAACATAAGTAATAATTTAATGATTCAGTATACAATAAATTAATAAAATATGGAAAAAGATCGGATAAAGACTGAGTTAACAACAACAACAACTAGGACAGATATTTTCCCCTCATATACCTTTTCTTTAATCTAATTATAATCAGGCAAAGTGATAAAACCCAAAACATTGTTTCTACCTATTCTACCCACATGGAAATAAAACTACATTTTTCAATTGACAATATTTTAAAAAGCCATGTTTTAATGCAATAAATACAGTGCTAATGTAGCCAAGGTATTATTTTTTGGTCAAGGCAGATCAGATTCATCACAGCGTAATTTGCATACCAAAGAAACACCTTAATTACCTTTATCATATTCATAGTTTTTGTCCTAAATTGGCTCTATTTTTTATTCAACCCCTACACTAATACCATGGGGAGAACCTTGTATCAGTAAAGGACAGTGGACTGTCAGCCACAGGTTTTAAAATAAAAGTAGACAGGTTCGCTCACAGTTTGTAGTTTCACAGTTTGTTTTCCATGCAGTATGTAGAGACAATATATTTTACAATACTCTGTGTTGCAAAGGCACATTCTCATTTGTACCATGTGCTGTCCAGTTATCGGGCAATAACTGGCAGTGCTTGGAGTTCAATGAACGAACGCAGAGAAGATTGCGCATAAATCAACAATATCCAATGTTTGCCTACATTTGAAAGGATCAATTTAACAACAAACCCATTATGATTCGTGCACGTTAAGAAATTCTGGTCACTTTCTCCTGCATGTTTTCACATACCATTTGCTTGTGACTCCTGGTTTCCTCAAGGCACCCATTCCATGTACTGTGAAATACTTTATTTTACCTGGAATTAATTTTTGCTGAAAAGACTTTTCGGTGTTTTGTATTTTTCACTGATTTGTGACTGAGTTGAATGTAAAATATAGGAAAAAGATATATTCGCTGGATTTTATTTTCACTAAATCAAGCGAAAAAGTGTTTTCCAGTATATACAATTTTTCAACAGTTTGGGTTATTATTATTGAAATAAAGGACTTGATTCTGATACAGAAACATACTAGAATTGACCAAGTGCTGTTCAAACCAGACTATAATTATATAGTTTTTACTGAGCTTAGATATTATAGGACACAAGGTACATTTTTATTTTGTTTCAAATATTCTATTTCATTCCTGTATGATAGACAACACTTATGAAATCCAACTTCCAAGAAGACTAAGGTGTGAAAAAGTTAGTTCACTGATAAGCCATGCCTCAAAAGAAAGTGTCACCACTGGGAGAATGTATTATAATAGAGGGCTATGACTTGTATTTGTCTGAATAAGAGCAAACGCTGATCTATAGAGAGGGACTTGTGGCTGAATGAATCAAGGTTAGAACAAACAAATACTGGGTTTAAATGGGATTACGAGTGACTTGAGTCTGTCTGAGGTTAGATCATTAACTACTTCAATTTTCATGCATAGATGCAGGATTTTTGATAAGACACAAATATATTGTCTGTCAAGAAAAAGATTGTTGACCTTAAGCCAGCAAGTATTTAGTAGATTTCTTTACAGTCTTTGTATATTGTAAGATAATTTGTGCACCCCCTTGCAGCTATTGGTTTGGTCCCAGAGGGGGAAGGTGTTTAGCAACTTTTCATTCTAGCAGTCACAATTGTAGATACACGCACAGCACTAAGCCTCAGAGATTAGTAGGCATACGTATACACACAGGTCAGGCAAACCGTATGAAGTGGCCATAAAAATCAACCAATGACGTAAATTGATTTGAAAAGGTTCATCAAACAAAGATTTCGGTTTCCAAAGATCTCGACTTGGGATTCTTAGCAGGTCAACATTGGTCACGGTACTTTCAAGCTAAGCGCTGGAAACCAACGTACAACATTACAATAGTACTTATTGCATTTTGTTGTCAGAGTTTGTTAATTGTTCTCCACGAATACTCCACTTTTTGTGGAGGCACAATGGTATATAAAGGCAATTACAAGGTCTTCCTGTCTGGTGGCACGATATCTTTATTGTGGTTCTTAATAGGGATGAG